ATTGTAATGATATTTGACTTGTAATGGAATATCAGACATTGAGGAACCTATTTATGATGAAAAAATTTAAAATTTTATAGCCTTATATTTTTCAACATATGGTGACAGGTGAAATAGTCAACATGCATTGCATTGCAAGTTCATTGATACATGGTGTGCAACAGTAATTTGATGTCTTCTGCCTGGTATTCTTCTGTTCAAACAGATAATGCGATCTTGTTGTCTTCCTCCCACAGTAATAATATGTAGTTTAACACTAGCTGATTTTATAAAATGTAGATCTCAGTATATATTCCATCACTTTATTTGCTTTTTTTGTGCAATTTGAGTGGAAAACTTCGAGGAAACATATACTTTGAGAATTTGTGCTGGCATAAATTTGCCTTTTTTTTTTTTTGAACTGGAGTCTCACTCTGTCACTCAAGCTGGAGTGCAATAGCATGCTCATGGCCCCCGCAGCCTCGACTTGCTGGGCTCAGGTGATCCTCTGCCTCAGCCTTCCATGTAGCTGGAACTACAGGCACACACCACCATGCCCAGCTACATTTTTTGATTTATTGTAGAGATGAGCTCTCGCCAAGTTGACCAGGCTGGTCTTGAACCGGTGGGCTCAGGCAATCCTCTCACCTTGGCCTCTCAAAGTGCTAGGATTATAGGCGTGAACCATCATGCTCGACCTATAAATTTGTCCTGTATAATCACCAGCAATCTCTTTATGTCCCCTGAGAGGGGACATCTGAGTGGTCTGCTAGATTTTTTTTTTTTGAGTTGGAGTCTCACTCTGTCGCCCAGACTGGAGTGCAGTGGCCGCTCCCGGCCACTGCAGCCTCTGTCTGCTGGGCTCAGGTGATACTTCTACCTCAGCCTTCCAAGTAGCTGCAACTACAGGCATGTGCCACCATGCCGCAGCTAATTTCTTTTTTTGATTTATTGTAGAGACGAGGTCTCACCATGTTGCTCAGGCTGGTCTCAAACTCCTGAGTTTAAGTAGTCCTTTCGCCTCCGCCTTCCAAAGTGCTCAGATTATAGGTTTGAGCCACCGCTCTCAGCTGAAAATTTAAAACTTTTTTTCCTTGTTTTCTGGGGTTTTGTCTGAAAGAATTACTAACTTGAATTTGTGGAGAAAAACTTAACTCTAGAAAAGTATGGCATAGGTAACAGCAGAGACACTATTAAGTATTAAAATATCAGTTCTAGTCAGTAAAGTAAAGTAGGATAGCTAAATTCTGTACAATTATTTGTTGTGTTTCTCTGACTCCTGGTGAATTATAGCTCTTGTCATCTTTTATTGCCATCTTTTATTGATTGAAATATTCCACTCCTTGATGTTTCCAAGATCACCAAGCTACATTTATGTCATATTACTCTACTCTTGTATTTTTAGTTCTAAATTTGTTGTCTACCTGTGTATTAGCTTGAATTTTTGTCCCCTAAATGCTTTCTATTTATTTTTTATTTTTATTTTTTATTTTTTGAGTTGGAGTCTCACTCTGTCGCCCGGACTGGAGTGCAGTGGCCATCCTGGCCACCGCAGCCTCGACCTGCTGGGCTCCAGCTATCCTTCCACCTCAGCCTTCCAAGTAGCTGGAACTACAGGCGCGCGCTACCACGCCCGACTGATTTTTGATTTATTGTGGAGATGAGATCTTGCTTGCCCAGGCGGGTCTCGAACCCGTGGGCTCAGGCAATTCACTCAACTCAGCCTCCCAAAGACGCGGGATTACAGGCTGAGCCACCGAGCCCGGCTAATGTCTTCTATTTATAATCCTTTGAATAATATATATATACATACACACATACATATGTATATGCTTTGTATTTTCTTTCTAAAGATTTGATATAAATAACATATAATTGACATACAGTGAGATTCATTGTTTTAACTTGTACAATTCACTGGTTTTTAGTATATTCACAGAATTGTGCAATGGTCACTAATAGAATGTTTACATCACCTTGGAAACTCCTTACCCATTAGCAGTCATTCCCAATCTCCCAGCCCCTGGCAATCACTAACCTATTTTCTGTCTCTATAGATTTGCCTATTCTGGGCATTTCAACTTACTTATTAAAAAAAAAAAAATGTGGCCAGGCTCAGTGGCTCAGCCTGTAATCCCACGCCTTTGGGAGGCTGAGGTGAATGAATTGCCTGAGCCCGTGGGTTCAAGACCCGCCTGGGCAACTTGGCGAGACCGCATCTCTACAATAAAAATTAAAAACTAGCCGAGTGTGGTAGCGCGCGCGCCTGTAGTTCCTGCTACTTGGAGGGCTGAGGTGGAGGGATATTTGGAGCCCAGCAGGTCGAGGCTGCGGTGGCCGGGAGCGGCCACTGTACTCCAGTCTGGGTGACGGAGTGAGACTCCAATTCAAAAAAAAAAAAAAAATGTACTCATTTAAAAAAATGTATAAAGCCGGGCTTGGTGACTCAGCCTGTAATCCTGCGCCTTTGGGAGGCTGAGGTGAGTGGATTGCCTGAGCTCGCGGGTTCGAGACCCGCCTGGGCAGCGAGACCTCATCTCTACAATAAATCAAAAATCAGCTGGGCGTGGTAGCTCGCGTCTGTAATTCTGGCTACTCAGAAGGCTGAGGTGGAAGGATCGCCCTCGCCCAGCAGGTCGAGGCTGTGGTGGTCGGGAGCGGCCGCTGCCCTCCAGTGTGGGCGACAGAGTGAGACTCCAACTCAAAAAAAAAAAAATGTATAAAGTAGTTTTGGGGCGCAATGGCTCACGCCTATAATTCCAGCCCTTTAGGTGGCGGAGGCGAGAGGATTACCTGAGCTCAGCGGTTCGAGCTACATGGTGAGACTTCATCTCTACAATAAATCAAAAAATTAACTGGGCATGGTGGCATATGCCTGTGGTTCCAGCTACTTGGAAGGCTGAGGCAGAAGGATCACCAGAGCCCAGCAGGTTGAGGCTGCAGTTGCCGTGAGCGTGACACTGCACTCCAGCCTAGGTGACAGAATGAGACTTCAACTCAAAAAAAAAAGTATAAGCCAGGCTCGATGGCTCAGCCTGTAATCCCGTGCCGTTGGGAGGCTGAGGTGAGTGGATTGCCTGAGCCCGTGGGTTTGAGACCCACCTGGGCAACTTGACGAGACCTCATCTCTACAATAAACCAAAAATTAGCTGGGTGTAGTAGCACGCACCTGTAGTTTCAGCTACTTGGAAGGCTGAGGCGGAAGGATCACCGGAGTCCAGCAGGTCGAGGCTGCGGTGGCCGGAAGCGGCCACTGCACTCCAGTCTGGGCAACAGAGTGAGACTCCAACTCAAAAAAAAAAAAAAGTAAGCTGGGCTCGGCTCGGTGGCTCAGCCTGTAATCCCACGCCTTTGGGAGGCTGAGATGAGTGGATTGCCTGAGCCCGCGGGTTCAAGACCACCCTGAGCAACTTGGCGAGACCTCATCTCTACAATAAATTAGAAAAATCAGCTGGGCGTGCCTGTAATTCCGGCTACTTGGAAGGCTGAGGTGGAAGGATCGCCGGAGCTCAGCAGGTCGAGGCTGCGGTGGCCAGGAGTGGTCACTGCACTCCAGTCTGGGCGACAGAGTGAGACTCCAACTCAAAAAAAAAAAAGTATAAAGTAATTTGATATGGACATTAAATAAAGAATCTCATTTTTTAAATTTTTATTTTTTTGAATCAGAGTCTCAATCTGTCACCCATGCTGAAGTGCAGTGACATGCTCATGGCCACCGCAGCCTTGATCTGCTGGGCTCATGTGATCCTTCTGCCTCAGCCTTCCAAGTAGCGTGCCACCATGCCCAGCTAATTTTTTGATTTGTTGTAGAGATGAGGTCTCACCAAGTTGCCCAGGCTGGACTTGAACCTGTGTGCTCAGGCAGCCCTCTTACCTGGCCTCCCAAAGTGTTAGGATTATAGGTGTGAGCCACCATGCCCGGCAAAAATCTCATTTTAAAAGAAACTTAAATAGCCAGTCTTTCGCCACGATGAGCAAACCAAAATAATAGTGCAGAGAGGCAATGAGAAAGAGAAACATCAGGTGGAAGAATCAGAACAACTCTAAGCCGGGCTCGGTGGCTCAGCCTGTAATCCCACACCTTGGGAGGCTGAGGTGAGTGGATTGCCTGAGCCCACAGGTTTGAGACCCACTTGGGCAAGTTGGCAAGACCTCATCTCTACGATAAATCAAAAAAAAAAAAAGAACAACTCTATTTAAAATGTTGAAAGAGGCTGGGCTCCATGGCTCAGCCTGTAATCTCATGCTTTGGGAGACTGAGGTGAATGGATTGCCTGAGCCTGCGGGTTCGAGACCTGCCTGGGCAACTTGGTGAGACCTCCCCTCTACAATAAATCAAAAATTAGTCGGGTGTGGTAACGTGCGCGTAGTTCCAGCTACTTGGAAGGCTGAGTAGAAGGATCGCCAGAGCCCAGCAGGTTGAGGTTGCAGTGGCCGAGAGCGGCCACTGCACTCCAGTCTGGGAGACAGAGTGAGACTCCAACTCAAAAAACAATAATAATAATAAATATATAAATGGAAAACCTGTCTGTTTACATCTAGTAGCTTCTCCCATAGGTAGTTTTTTTTTTGCTCAGACTGGAATGTAGTGGTACAATCATGGCTCAATGCAGCCTCTCAGCCTCGACCTCTTCAGCTCAAGCAGTCCTTACTGCTCAACTTCCCAAATAGCAGGGACTACTAGCCATGCTAGCTAATTATTGTATTTTTTGTAGAGGTAAGATTGCTTAGGCTAGGCTCAAGCAGTTCTCCCACCTTGGATTCCCAAAGTGCTGGAATTACAGATGTGAGCCATTGTGCCCAACCTTAGATAGCTTTTAGTGAGAGTTTGTTGAAGGATTGTGTTTGGAAGTGGATATAGGTTAATGGATGGGAGAGAGAAAGATACTGTAAGTAGGGGGAAAGCTTAAACATGCAGTGATGAAGTTGAGACAAGCAAAGAGCTTGATTTGAGACTTAGTTTCTCTAGATCTATCTTGATCTAGAAACACATAATAAATATTATTTTTCTCTCCATCCAGTCTGTGGCTCCAGCAGCCTTGTTTCTAGCAGCAAAAGTAGAGGAGCAGCCAAAAAAATTGGAGCACGTCATCAAGGTAGCACATGCTTGTCTCCATCCTCAGGAATCACTTCCTGATACCCGGAGTGAGGTAGGAGAGTAATTACACATTTGCTTTTCTTTTATTCTTATTTTCCCTACTCAAGAATGCCTGGATCTTTATTTGTGGTGTAACTTAATTTTATAACTTCAGTTTACTGAAGTTTGAATGGGGCTGTTAAAGAAACCTTTTAGTGTTTGTTTTTTTCTTAGCAAAAAGAAAAATAAATGTTAAGGTAAAAGTTAATTGTACTTGTAGTAAAATTTGAAAAAATAGAAAAATGAAGAAGAAAATATGTCACTAAATGTATTTTAGACCAAGAAAGCACAGATAAATAAGTGAAGCACTTATTTCTAGCTTCTTTTCTTTAAATAGCTATGTGTGGATATATTTTTGTATCTGTTTTTTTCACTTACTGCATCCTAAATATCTTCCTATTTTATTCTTTTTTTTTTTTTTTTTTGAGTTGGAGTCTCACTCTGTCTCCCAGACTGGAGTGCGGTGGCCGCTCTTGGCCACCGCAGCCTCGACCTGCTGATCCTTCTGCCTCAGCCTTCCAAGTAGTTGGAACTACAGGTGCATGCTACCACGTCTGGCTAATTTTTGATTTATTGTAGAGATGAGGTCTCGCCAAGTTGCCCAGCGGGTCTCGAACCCACGGGCTCAGACAATCCACTCACCTCAGCCTCCCAAGATGCTGAATTACAGGCAGAGCCATCAAGCCCGGCTCCATTTTATTCTTAGATGTAAATTTTTGTTATGGAGCCTTAAAAAAATGAGTCTTGTCTCTAGTTATTTTTTTTTTTTTTGAGTTGGAGTCTCACTCTGTCACCCAGACTGGAGTGCAGTGGCCGCTCCCGGCCACCGCAGCCTTGACCTGCTGGGCTCTGGCGATCCTTCCGCCTCAGCCTTCCGAGTAGCTAGAATTACAGGCGCGTGCTACCACACCCGGTTAATTTTTTGATTTTATTGTAGAGATGAAGTCTCACCTGCCCAGGCAGGTCTGGAACCCGTGGGCTCAGGCAATCCACTCATCTCAGCCTCCCAAAGGCCCGGGATTACAGGCTGAGCCACCCAGCCCGGTTTTTTTTAACTTTTAAACAATTTACAAAAATTATATATGGTTATTATGAAAGAATCTAAACACTTAAGCTTTTTATTTTTATTTTTTGTGTTGGAGTCTCTGTCGCCCAGGCTTGGATTACAGTGGCACACTCACAGCCACCACAGCCTTGACCTCCTGGGCTCAGGTTATCCTGCTTCAGCCTTCCAAGTAGCTGGAACTACAGGCATGTGCACCACGGCCAGCTAATTTTTTGTTTTTTGTAGAGATGAGGTCTTGCCAAGTTGCCAAGCTGGTCTCGAATCTGTGGGCTCAGGCAATTCTCTCATCTCGGCTTCCCAAAGTGCTGAGAAGGAAACATTTAAAGTAAAAGTTTATCTCCCTTTCTCACAGGAGGGTAATGCTGACTATAGCTTGAAATATATTCTTCTAGACCTTTATCCTGTGCATATACACAACTTTTTGTTTTCTTCCATCCTTTTTGAACTTCTCTTAAAGAAAGGAAACTCTCCTGATTTTAAAAGTCAGTGATTGAGCTGGGCTCGGTGGCTCAGCCTGTAATCCCACGCCTTTGGGAGGCTGAGGTGAGTGGATTGCCTGAGCCCGCGGGTTCAAGACCCGCCTGGGCAACTTGGCGAGACCTCATCTCTACCTAAATCAAAAAAATTAGCCGGGCGTCATAACGCGTGCCTGTAGTTCCGGCTACCTGGAAGGCTGAGGCGGAAGGATCGTCGGAGCCCAGCAGGTCGAAGCTGCGGTGGCCGGGAGCAGCGCCTGCACTCCAACCTGGGCGACAGAGTGAGATTCCAACTCAAAAAAAAAGTCAGTGATTGGACAGCGATGAGTTGAGAGGTCTGACATTTGTGTTTAGAGAAAAATTATAGATTTCTGTTACTAGATCATTTAAGTTTCTTACAGTAGATGCATGGGTTATCCTTGATCAAATAGATAAGTGGAATTGTATGTTTCCTTCTGATCATATTGGAAAAAGGTTTTGTTTAGGGGTAGGAGGGATTGTTTTTGTTTTTAGTAATAGTTTTTCCGAACAGTGTTTGCATAGCAGTGTCTTGTCTTCATTTTTTCTTTGGGCCACTTCAGTAGCTCTTATTGAAGAATGATTGCTCTGGGTTTTGTTTAGGTTTGAGACTAGTAAATGGTTCATAGAATTGAGTTAAAATAAAACAAAAGCATAATTTCCAGTTATTTTCCTTCTCCAGTTCTTGTGACGCAGAACTGGTTTGGGAGGTGGAGGTAAGAGGATTGCCAGAGCCCAGGGGTTCGAGACCAGCCTGGGCAACTTAGCGAGACCTCGTCTCTACAATAAATCAAAAATTAGCCGAAGCCGGGCTCGGTGGCTCAGCCTGAAATCCCAGCACTTTGGGAGGCTGAGGCGGAGGGATCGCCGGAGCCCAGCAGGTCGAGGCTGCGGTGGCCGGGAGTGGCCACTGCACTCCAGTCTGGGTGACAGAGTGAGACTCCAACTCAAAAAAAAAAAAAAAAAAAAAAAATTAGCCGAGTGTAGATATGTTTCACTATATGCAAAGGAGAACTAGCATAGTTTTTTAAATCCTCATCAGCTTATTCAAATCATAAAGTTAAGTGGAAAGTTTACTATAATTTAGGTGTTTTGACTCCTAACCAAGGTCTTTCTCTCCTAGAGTTCTAGACCAGTGCTGTCCAATAGACATATAGTGGGAGCCGCATATATAATTTAAAATTTTAAGCTTTTCATTAACATGTATTAAAAAATCCAAATAAAAAAGAAATTAATAATTTTATTTAATATATCTCAAATATTGTCATTTGTAGCACATAATCAATTTTTAAAAGTTATTAATGAGATATTTTACATTACTTTTTAACATACTTCAAAATCCAGTATATTTTACAGTTATAGCACTTTTTTTTTTTGATTGGGAGTCACTCTGTCACCCAGCCTAGATGGAGTGCAGGCGGCACACTTAACAGCCACCACAGCCTTGACCTGCTGGACTCAAGTGATCCTTCTGCTTCAGGCTTCCAAGTAGGTGGAACTACAGACATGTGCCACTGTGCCTGGCTAAATTTTTTTGATTTATTGTAGAGATGAAGTCTCGCCAAGTTGCCCAGGCTGGTCTTGACCCCATGGGCTCAGGCAATCCTCTTACTTTGGCTGCCCAAAGTGCTGGGATTATAGGTGTGAGTCACTGCACCAGGCCAGGTTATAGCACATTTTAATTTAAACTAGCTACAGTTCAAGTGATCAGTAGCTACATGTGACTAGTGGCTGTAGTTTTGGCTAACACAAATCTTGGAGATAATTTTTTATTTCTTTCTTTTTTTTTTGTAAGTTGGAGTCTCTGTTGCCCAGGCTAGAGTGCAGTGGCACACTCATAGCCACTTCAGCTTCAACCTACTTGGCTTCAGTGATCCTTCCACCTCAGCCTTCCAAATAGCTGGAACTACAGGCACGCGCTGCCATATCTGGCCGATTTTTTGATTTTATTGTAGAGATGAGGTCTCGCTAAGGTGCCTGGGCTGGTCTCAAACCCGCAGGCTCAGGCAGTTCACTTGTCTCTGCCTCCCAAAGTGCTGGGATTACAGGCTGAGCCACTGAGCCCAGCCTGAGAGAATTTTCTTAATGCCTTTTCCTTTGAACTATTCTGTAAATTTTTAGAAATCTAGCATAGAGCCAGGCTCAGTGGCTCAGCCTGTAATCCTGCGCCTTTGGGAGGCTGAGGTGAGTGAATTGCTTGAGCCCGCGGGTTTGAGACCCGCCTGGGCAACTTGGCAAGACCTCATCTCTACAATAAATCAAAAGTTAGCCGGGTGTGGTACCATGCATGCGCCTGTAGTTCCAGCTGCTTGGAAGGTTGAGGCGGAAGGATCGCTGGAGTCCAGTAGGTCGAGGCCGCGGTGGCCGGGAGTGGCCGCTGCACTCCAATCTGGGTGACAGAGTGAGACTCCAACTCAAAAAAAAAAGAAACCTAGCCTAGGAGAAGGTTTAACAGGAGTCAAATTGTTTATGTCAGTTAAATGCCTACAGTACCGTAGAAAGGTTCTGTAAATGTATTTCGGTGATACTGGAAAAAAGATATATTTAAAATTTTTTTATTCCTAAACCACATGAGCTTTAAAATCTGAAATATTAGTCAGTCTGAAAATGAGCCAAAGTTTTGGGTGCTTTTTCTGTAGCCATATATGGATAAAATGTTGTTTTTATGTATATACTATACTTTATATATATATTTAGGTCTCTCGATGTATATATACTACATATATACACTTTATGTGTCTTTGTAAGGAATAATTTCTCTGTCTTCTCATTTTTAGGCTTACCTGCAACAAGTTCAAGACCTGGTAATTTTAGAAAGCATAATTTTGCAGACTTTAGGTAAGTTTATTTTCCTTTAAAACATTAAAAAAATTATGCAATATAATCATGTGATTTTTAAATTTGCCAAATAGGAACTAGGAAGAAAATTCCCTTGTGAAGATTTTTGCAGTGTTCCTCCATTTCTGGCTTATAGATGTTGTAGATCTCTGAGTTGAACCCTGGCATAATTTAGAGAGAATGACGGTAGTACAGCTGACCTTTGAAATAACAGTGGATTTTTTTTTCCCCATTCATGATTTGCTTTTGAAGGTTTGGCGGTTTTTAACCCATAGATGGTAAGAACTACCTAAAGAACTTTTTTCCTTCAATGGATTTATGGTCTGTCTGTCATTGTATTTATAGAACAGTATTTGTTTTTAAAATTGGTAACCAGGGTTTGGAACAGCAGAATGGAAGCGGGGAACTCAAGCTATAGTGGCTCCATGAACAACTCTGATGATGTTCTTTGATTATCTGTTACTTTCATCAGATGGACTACTTGTAAAAACTTAGAAAATAAAAGCTAGCAGAGTTATGCAGTGGAAGCATGCTGGGCCCATAAAAACTTAGAAAATATGAAAATATGGGTTTTTTTCTTACTGTTTTGGGCTATCATTTTTCTCTTCTAGGTATGATAGGATTTCATGAGTTCTTTTTTAAAAGTTATTGGTATAGCTATATATTTTTTGCACATATATACACATGATGAGTTCTTCAGAGTTCATCTCTGAGGTTAATTTCTTTTAGTTAACTTTTTTTGTTTGTTTTTTTGTTTTGGGATTGGAATCTCACTGTCACCAAGGCTAGAGTGCAGTGGCATGCTCATGGCCACTGCAGCCTTGACCTGCTTGGCTCAGGTGATCCTTCCACCTTAGCCTTCCAATTAGCTGGAACCACAGGCATATGCCACCACACCCAGCTAATTTTTGATTTATTGTAGAGATGAGGTCTCGCTAAGTTGCCCAGGCTCGTCTCAAACCCCTGGGCTCTGGCATTCCTTACCTTTACCTCCCAAAGTGCTGGGATTACCTGCGTGAGCCACCGTGCCCGGCTGTAGTTAACTTTTAAAAATTATCTTCAAGGTAAATGTATTTCAGGGGATAATATTTCTTATTAATATTTTAATGTGGAAACCAGTGAGAACTAATTCAGTGAAATCAGTTATCCTTTTAGAATAATTTACATCATTTAAACTTCTCAATAGAATTTGTTGTATCTGGAAAATTTTACTTACACAGTATACTCAGGGCAACTTATTCAAAGATAATTTTCCCAAAGCCTGTAATCCCGTGCTTTGGGAGGCTGAGGTGAGTGGATTGCCTGAGCCTGCGGGTTCGAGACCCGCCTGGACAACTTGGCGAGACCTCATCTCTACAATAAATCAAAAAATCAGCCAGGCATGGTAGCGCATGCCTGAAATTCCGGCTACTCAGAAGGCTGAGGCAGAAGGATCGCTGGAGCCCAGCAGGTTGAGGCTGCAGTGGCCGGGAGTGGCCACTGCACTCCAGTCTGGGCGACAGAGTGAAACTTCAACTCAAAAAAAAAAAGATAGCCGGGCTCGGTGGCTCAGCCTGTAATCCCAGCACTTTTGGAGGCTGAGGTGAGTGGATTGCCTGAGCCCGCGGGTTCGAGACCCACCTGGGCAACTTGGTGAGACCTCATCTCTACAATAAAATCAAAAATTAGCTGGGCGTGGTAGTGCCTGCCTATAGTTCCAGCTACTTGGAAGGCTGAGGTGGAAGGATCTCTGGAGCCCAGCAGGTCGAGGCTGTGATGGCCAGGAGTGGCCACTGCATTCCAGTCTGGGTGACAGAGTGAGACTCCAACTCAAAAAAAGATAATTTTTATAGACATATTGATCCTCCTTAAGTAATTTTGGTAAAGACTATTTGGGGTTGAATAAAGTAATCAGTATCTATTTTAACTGGATGATGAAAAGGAAAAAAATCAAGATAAAAGAGGGATAGGTTTCTAAAGGATTTTTTCAAAGTTAAGCTTTAGAAAGATAGTCATCACTTGAGTGACTGTATCCAACCTTACATTTTGTAGTCCCTAAAAAAGTGTTATATATTTTTCAGTGGTTTCGATCTTAGTGGTACTCTTCAGCTCAACATTTAAGCAACTTTAGAGATAATGCATCTTAGAGAAGAGTATGCTGCATTTTTTGTGTAACTCTTAGCCTCTGAAAAGCAGTTTTGGAAGAGGAAAATGAGGGAGGCCTGTAATGATGACTCAGATTAAGGAAGTATAAAATATCTTGAGTAGCTTTAGCTTTTTAACCTGTTACTTTTTTCTTTTAAGGCTTTGAGCTAACAATTGATCACCCACATACACATGTTGTAAAGTGCACTCAACTTGTTCGAGGTAAGGAATCCCAACTTGAGATGACTATCTTAAATTATTTCAACATTTAGAGACTGTGGTTTGCTTTGAACAGATACAGAACACATCTGCTTTGTCCAAAAGTGAAATTGAAAGGCCTGTTTGACTTAAATAAAAATAAGTGGTTCTGACTTGGAGTTTTTCTGTTGTGTTCTTGTAATTAATAATGTTTTTAGAAAATCTCCTGTTAAAGAGATTTGACCTCTTGAGGATGTTTGTGAAAGCTGGGGGCAATTTTAAGGACGTCTTAGTGGGAGTAGGTGATCTTATTTAAATTTGAACTTTCCATAACTGACAATTCCTTAGCAGGACTTTTCTTTTTATTCTAATTTAACAATAGTAGTTATAATTAAATGAAACTCTCAGTTCTTCTTATTTGGTTTAAGTAGTAGTATCAAGAATATCTGGACACCTATGTGCATTTAAGAGCCTTTCATAGTTTTTTAGACCAAACTGATAATTGGTCCTATTTTACATTTTACCAATGTGTGTTTCATGTGAAAATTTACAAAGTTCTCCCAAGTATTTTATACTTGAAAGTTTTGCGGAGCACGGTGGTTCGTACCTATAATTCCAGCACTTTGGACAGCAGAGGCGAGAGGATTGCTTGAGTCCAGGGGTTCGAGTCCAGCCTGGGCAACTTAGTGAGACCTCATCTCTACAGTAAATAAAAAAAAATTAGCCGGGCATGGTGGTGCACTCCTGTGTTTCCAGCTACTTGGAAGGCTGAGGTGGAAGGATCACCTAAGCCCAGTAGGTTGGGGCTGCAGTGGTCATGAGTGTGCCACTGCACTCCTGCCTGGGCAACAAGAGTATGACTCCTATTAAAAATGAACAAAAAGAGCCGGGCTCAGTGGCTCAGCCTGTAATCCCACGCTTTGGGAGGCTGAGGTTAGTGGATTGCCTGAGTCCATGGGTTCGAGACCCGCCTGGGCAACTTGGCGAGACCTCATCTCTACAATAAATCAAAAATTAGCTGGGCGTGGTAGCATGCGCCTGTAGTTCCAGCTACTTGGAAGGCTGAGGTGGAAGGATCGCTGGAGCCCAGTAGCTCGAGACTGCAGTAGCTGGGAGCGGCCACTGCACTCCAGTCTGGGTGACAGAGTGAGACTCCAACTCATATAAAAATAAATAAAAATAAAAATGAACAAAAAGTATTAAAATGTTTATACTGAGCAAGGGTAAGGTTAGAGATGGATATAGGTAATATTGGAAAGACTATGTTCTAAGGGTGATAAAAATTTGCTTTGTCATCCAGAGTAGTTTGTTTTTGAAGGAGGAATATGATTTTTCATTAAATAATTTGTTATTTGATTATTTGGGGATTGAATCACAGCCTACTTAATTAAAAACTTTTTTATTAGCAAAAATCACTTTTCTCAATACATTAAGATTTTCTGGATTCTGATCTTGCTTTCAGATTTTGCTTTCAGATTATCTTAATTCATCCTCTAGTGTAGCATTTCACAGTGAATTCTTATACCAGAATCTCTGGGCTACTTGTTTAAAATGCTTGTGGCCTTCTCCAAACATACTGAATCAAATTTTAGGGAGCAGGTCCAGGAATTGCATTTTAAACAAGCACCCCAGATAATCTGGTATGCAGAATAAAGTTTGAGTACCTAGGTCTGTAGGGAGCATAATTATTAATATTAAAATTAAAAGTGATTGATCTGTCTCCTTTGGTAGAATGTAAACATCAAGTGGTCAGAGACTGTGTCTGCCTCATTTAATACCTTTTTTCCCTTCCCCACTGTTTTTTTTTTTTCTTTTTCAGCAAGCAAGGATTTAGCACAGACTTCTTACTTCATGGCAACCAACAGGTTTATATATATATATATATTTCCTCCCTTTTATTTTTGGTATAAGTCTTTACTAGGGTTGAAATTGTTACCTTTTAAGGGATGTATACAATGACTTAGTAAACTAGAACTTAAAGACCCAGGCATGGAAATTATCTTTGATATAATGTGTTATAGACAATTTTCTCGTGAATGTTGAATTTCCTGCAGTTTTCATGTTGTACTTTAAATTTTCATGGTACTTTTTAATTTTGTAAGATGATGTAGTAAATTAAAATTCTTTTGATAGACTACTAAATTCTGCATATTATTTGCTTTAAAATACGTAACAGCATAATTCTGAAAGTTAAGGTAAACTTAAGGGGCTCATTGATAGTTATTGAAAATCTAATTTGGAAGATTCTAAAATAATTATGACATTTTAAAAGACTCCTTTTTCGCTGGGCACGGTGGCTCATGCCTGTAATCCCAGCTCTTTGGGAGGTGAAGGCAAGAGGATTGCTGGAGCCCAGGAGTTTGAGACCAGCCTCGGCAACATGGCGAGGCCTTGTCTCTACAATAAATAAAAAACGAAATTAGCCGGCCATGGTGGCGTACACCTGTAGTTCCAGCTACTTGGAAGGATCACCTGAGCCCAGCAGGTCAAGTCTGTGGTGGCCCTGGGCATGCCACTGTGCTCTAGCCTGGGTGACAGAGTGAGACTCCAACTCAAAAAAGAAAAAAAATTAGCTGGGCATGGTGGCACATGCCTGTGGTTCCAGCTACTTGGGAGGCTGAGGTGGAAGGATCATCTGAGCCCCAGCAGGTTGAGACTGCAGTGGCCGTGAGTGTGCCACTGCACTCCAGCCTGGATGACAGAGTGAGACTCTGACTCAAAATTATAATAATAATAAGACTCCTTTTTCTTTTTCCTACTTCCAGACAAATGGGCTCTTCGGTGTGTAAAGAGTTTCAATACTTTTTCTTCTTCCATTTATTGGAGTCAGGGTTTTGCTCTGTCACCAGGGTGGAGTAGTGATGTAACCATTGTTCACTGTAGGCTTGAACTCCTGAGCTCAGGTGATCTTCCCACCTCAGCCTTCCAAGTTGCTGGGACTACAGGTGCTTGCTACCACACCCAGCTAATTTTTAAGTGTTTTGTTATGTTATCCAGGCTGGTTTGAACTCCTGGACTCAAGTGATCCTCCCACCTTTACTTCCCAAAGTGCTGGGATTATAGGTGTGAGCTACCTTACCTGGCCACCTTTTAAAAAAAATAGCTGGGTGTAGGGGCACACACCTGTAATCCCTGTACTTTAGGAGGGTGAGGCAAGAGGATTGCCTGAGCCTGTATCTTCAAAATTAGCCTGGCAATATGGTGAGACCTCATCTCTACAATAAATAAATTTTAAAAATTAGCTGGGCATGGTGGTGCATGCCTGTAGTTCCAGCTACTTGGAAGGTTGAAGCAGTGGGATCACCTGAGCCCAGCAGGTTGAGGCTGTGGTGACCATGACTTGTGCCACTACATTCTAGCCTGGGCAACAGAGTGAAACTCTAACTCAAAAAAAATTAGTAGTACTTAACTTGTATTACTAAATGATTTATTTGCTCTCATCTCTGATCCTCAAAATTGCTTGTTTGTAGACACCAAAGATAGATACTCTTAATAACTGTCAGGGTTAAGAAGTTCATTTTTATAACCCGATATGAGAAATTTTTAAAATAAACCACCAATCAAGCTTATACTTGAGAGAATGATTATTTATTATTTTATTAATGTTTTTGAGTTGGGAGGGTCTCACTCTGTTGCCCAAGCTGGAGTGCAGTGGTGCAATTAAGGATCACCACAGCCTCAACCTCTTGGGCTCAGGTGATCTTTCTGCCTCAGCCTCCTGAGTAGCTGGGTCTACAAGCACATACCACTACACATGGCTAATTAAAAAATTTTTTTTGAGCCGGGCTCGGTGGCTCAGCCTGTAATCCCGTGCCTTTGGGAGGCTGAGGTGAGTGGATTGCCTGAGCCTGCGGGTTCGAGACCCGCCTGGGCAGGCGAGACCTCATCTCTACAATAAAATCAAAAAGAAAATTAGCCGGGCGTGGTAGCGCACGCCTGTAATTCCGGCTACTCGGAAGGCTGAGGCGGAAGGATCGCCGGAGCCCAGCAGGTCGAGGCTGTGGTGACTGGGAGCAGCCACTGCACTCCAATCTGGGCGACAGAGTGAGACTCCATCTCAAAAAAAAAAAATTTTTTTTTTTTGTATAGATGACATATTGCTATGTTACTAAGACTGTTCTTGAATTCCTGGGCTCCAGCAACCTTCCTGTCTTAGCTTCCCTAAGTGCTGGGATTACAGGCGTGAGCCATTGTGCCCTGTCCTCATTTATTATTTTAAATAGACCAGAACTGTGATTGCAAGAGACAAGATAAATTTTAGGGTATTTCCTTAAGTGTTTGATTTAGGGATTATACAGGCTAAAAAGCTTAAAATGTTTCTTAAGATCTGAGCTTAGTCTCAGGATAATGAGTAATAAACATTGACTTCTGGGCTTGCATACTGTCCAGAAGTCAATGTCTAAAAAAACTTGAGGTCCAGGTGGGGTGGCTCACACCTATAATCCCAGCACTTTGGGAGGCGGAAGTGAGAGGATTGCCTGAGCCTATGGGTTCAAGACCAGCCAGGGCAACTTGGTGAGATCTCATCTCTACAATAAATGAAAAAATTAGCTGGGCATGGTGGCGCATGCCTGTAGTTCCAGCTATTTGGAAGGCTGAGGTGGAAGGATCATTTGAGCCCAGCAGGCCGAGGCTGCAGTGGCTATGAGTGTATCACTGCCCTCTAGCCTGGGTGACAGAGTGAGACTTCAACCAAAAAAACAAAACAACTTGAGTTCCTAGCCTTTTCTTTTTCTTTTTTGACTCTGGTCAGTGTATGAATTGAATGATGTGTAGTCAAGAAATTGCAAAATGTTGTTACCTAAACAGGTGGGTTAATAAGAACTTATTATGTTGAGTGCTGGATCAGAGCACTGGATATTTCTTACCCTTCTGGCTCTCCTGTGTTTTTAAAAATTTTTTAAATAATGGAGAGTTTTAGCATTGGGTTGAGAATTGAGAGCTCATGACACTCTCTGTTTCCTTCCCTCTGATGTCAGCCTGCATTTGACCACATTTAGCCTGCAGTACACACCTCCTGTGGTGGCCTGTGTCTGCATTCATCTGGCTTGCAAGTGGTCCAACTGGGAGATCCCAGTATCAACTGACGGGAAGCACTGGTGGGAGTATGTTGACGCCACTGTGACCTTGGAACTTTTAGATGGTAAGTTTTAGAGTAAGGGACCTTGAAAAACACTTGCTCTTGATCTGTCACATATCTGGCCAGAGGTGATATGATTCAGATGAACATAGTGAGTTAGTTGAGGTTATTCTTGTTTCATTACTTCTGTCTCTCTGAGTCTTTCTTGAATGTTCTGTTTTATTTGTAGAACTGACGCATGAATTTCTACAGATTCTGGAAAAAACTCCAAACAGGCTCAAGCGCATTCGAAATTGGAGGGTAAGAATCATTGCTTGTGTAACAAAATCAGTTTCTTCTTTTGACTGCACCAGTAAATATACCAGAATTGAGCTGGGCTCGGTGGCTCAGCCTGTAATCCCGCACTTTGGGAGGCTGAGGTGAGTGGATTGCCTGAGCCCGCGGGTTCAAGACCCACCTGGGCAACTTGGCGAGACCTCATCTTTACAATAAATTAAAAAAAAAAAAAAAAAAAAAAAAATTAGCTGGGCTTGGTGGCTCAGCCTGTAATCCCGCGCCTTTGGGAGGCTGAGGTGAGTGGATGCCTGAGCCCGCGGGTTCGAGACCCGCCTGGGCAGCGAGACCTCATTTTTACAATAAATCAAAAAAAATCAGCCGGGCGTGGTAGCGCATGCCTGTAATTCCGGCTACTTGGAAGGCTGAGGCGGAAGGATCGCCGGAGTCCAGCAGGTCGAGGCTGCGGTGGCCGGGAGCGGCCACTGCACTCCAGTTTGGGCGACAGAGTGAGACTCCAATTCAAAAAAAAAAAAAAAAAAAAAAAAAAAATTAGCCGGGTGTGGTAGCGTGTGCCTGTAGTTCCAGCTACTTGGAAGGCTAAGGCGGAAGGATCGCTGGAGCCCAGCAGGTCGAGGCTGTGGTGGCTGGGTGTGGCCACTGCACTCCAGTTTGGGTGACAGAGTGAGACTCCAACTCAAAAAAAAAAAAAAAAGTTTCCCTTGTTTTCTCATAAATCCTTAACTTGATTCTCCTGAATTGAGCGGGTTGTAGAAAAGGAGTTTACCTCTTAGAAACCTAGATTTCAAAGTAGATTTGAAAGCACATATATTTTACTTTTGTATAAAAACTCACCAAAATTTCTAGAATTTGGTCATAGACTAACTACAATCATAAGTGGTCATAAGAAGGCATAGATATTTATGAATGATTTTTAGATAAGCACAGATTCTTTGTTATTACTTTGTAACACTTGTATAAATTGCTATGAATCTTAATCAAAACTTTAAAATATTCTTCTGATGGTAATGTTTATTGGTTTTCATGTTAGGGTAGCCTCCTGCTTTGTGACCTATCTAGAACTTCCAGTGTTGCAGCAAGTACAATCTCCTCATGTGTTTTAACATTTAATAAATTACCTGAAGTGAAGGGATGTTATTTGCTTCATTCTAGGCATGCCAGGCTGCCAGGAAAACAAAAGCAGATGACCGGGGAGCAGATGAAAACACTTCAGAACAGACAATCCTCAATATGATTTCCCAGAGCTCTTCAGACACGACTATTGCAGGTTTAATGAGCATGTCAACTTCTAATACCACGAGTACGGTGCCTTCCCTTCCAGTCTCTGAAGAGTCATCCAGCAACTTAACCAGTGTGGAGATGTTGCAGGGTGAGCGTTGGCTGTCCTCCCAACCTCCTTTTAAACTAGAACCTGCTCAGGGTCATCGGACTAGTGAGAATTTAGCACTTATAGGAGCTGATCATTCCTTGAAACAGGATAGTTCAAATGCATTTATTTCCCAGAAGCAGAGTAAGAGTGTGCCATCAGCTAAAGTGTCACTGAAAGAATACCGTGCAAAGCACGCAGAAGAGTTAGCTGCTCAGAAGAGACAACTGGAGAACATGGAGGCTAATGTGAAGTCACAGTATGCATATGCTGCCCAGAATCTCCTGTCTCACCATGATAGCCATTCTTCAGTCATTCTGAAAATGCCTCTAGAGGGCTCAGAAAACCCTGAGCGGTCTTTTCTGGAAAAGGGTGACAAAACAACTCTCAAAATGAGACTTCCGGTGGCAGGTGGAGATAAATCTGCCTCTTCAAAACCAGAGGAGATAAAAATGCGCATTAAAGTTCACACTGCAGGTGACAAGCACAATTCTGTAGAAGACAGTGTTACAAAGAGCCGAGAGCACAAAGAAAAGCATAAGACACACCCATCCAATCATCATCATCATCATAATCACCACTCACATAAGCACTCTCACTCACAGCTTCCAGTTGGTACTGGGAATAAACGACCAGGTGATCCAAAACACAGCAGCCAGACAAGCACCTTAGCACATAAAACTCATAACTTGTCTAGTTCTTTCTCATCTTCCAGTTCTACTCGCAAAAGGGGGCCTGCTGAAGAGACTGGAGGGGCAATGTTTGATCATCCAGCCAAGATTGCCAAGAATACTAAATCCTCTTCCATAAATTTCCCCTTTCCTCCACTTCCTACGATGGCCCAGTTGCCTGGACATAGCTCAGACACAAGTGGCCTTCCCTTTTCACAGCCCAGCTGTAAAACTCGAGTTCCTCATATGAAACTGGATAAAGGACCCAGTGGGGCCAATGGTCACAATACAACCCAGACGATAGACTATCAAGATACTGTGAATATGCTTCACTCCCTGCTCAGTGCCCAGGGTGTTCAGCCTGCTCAGCCCCCTGCATTTGAATTTGTTCATTCTTATGGTGAATATTTGAATCCGAGAGCTGGTGGAATCTCTTCCAGATCTGGCAATACAGATAAACCCCGGCCACCACCTCTGCCATCAGAACCTCCTCCACCACTTCCACCCCTTCCTAAGTAAAGAAAAAGAAGAGAAAAAAACTTCTTTAAAAAACACAAGTTTTTTTTTTTTTTTTGACTACTGATACTGGACTAAGAAAATTCCCTTATGAAATATGTCATCTTGGACTAGGGAATAAATTGATACTGAAATGTAGGTGGGAGGGTGGTAGAGGGCCTTGGTTATTATATCTGCTGCCTCACACATTTAACTATTTTCTTACAGTTTTTATTGGTATTAGAGAGGTGGGAATTGTTGAAGCTGTGAAGGATTAGGAACACTTTCTCCATTCTTGGCCTCTCCACCTTCTAATTAGGTTGATTGGAGTTGATATCTTCCCTCTTCTTACCTGAACTGAAACAGGAGGGTTTGTTTTATTGAACAATTGTGGATCCTTTTGGTGTTTAATATATCAGAAGAGAGGAAGTATTTAAACGTCAAAATCTTTTAAGAGACTTTTAAAAAATAATTTAAAGAAAGTAAGTTATCTGTTTAGTTTTTTATATAATTGGGGAGGGTATAGGGATTTTGCTGTGTGTATGAAATACATAGCAGTGACTCCTAGGAGATGGGACTGGAGGGTGGGAATGTGTGCAGGGTGGGTGGGAGGGTAAGTTTTTGGCCAAGAGTTAAAAAATAGGCTCAGGCCACTTGAAGTGTTGAGATTTTTTAGTGTGTATGTAAGTTGGGTGTGTATGTTTAAAAATCATGTTTTATCTTTCCCTCCCTGGCACTTAACCATTTTTACTTCCCAATAGTCTTCTTGAGAGAACATATTGGCCTTGGGAACATAAAGGAAGAATCATGTATTTGACATGGTATTTTTCCCTTTATGTTATAATTGTGTAGTAGCCCTCTAATTTCTAGTTTGGGCAAATGCAACCAATAACCTGACTTTTAACTCCATTATGAAAACTTCCTTTTTATGCACTTTTTTCGTTTTCATGCAGAACAGAAGTGGGGTTGAGGAGGCAGGGTTGGTGAGCAAGGCCAGCTTCTGCCCTACAGAATTGGGTGTGTCTTTTTTTCCAAGTTGGGCTTTGGGAAATTGTTCAACTGAGAGCAGTCTCAGGGTCTCTGAGGAATGGGGGATGTGCTGTATATAGCCTACCTGTCAAAGCCCAAACCTTATGGGAAGATCATTCTGGGAGAAGCTAGAGGATACTGAAAACAATGAAGTTGTGATTTGGAATTGTAGGACATTGTATCTTAAATTACATTATAAATGTAAGACTTGCTTTTTATCTGTATATCTGAAGGGAAACAGCTGCATCCTGAAGTGTTTACAGCCTATGTGTCTTGAGGTTGGAGCTTGTGGACTTAAATAGTACTGGTGCCATGAGAGTGATCAAGCCTTGCCAACAGATACTATTTAGGTTGTTCATCTTTTGTGGCTTTAGATTCTGTCTTAGACAGAGGTTCTTAATGGGATTTCTAAGAGTTCTTTAAAAAAAAACAGGTCCGGAATCCTTTTTTTATGGGGGCTTAATTTGAGATATTGGGAGTGAACATTTTTGATGAGGAAAGAAATCTTGACTGGAAAGAATTCTGAGTCAGCTGTTTAACTGAAAACCACCTAGTCACAGATCATGGGATATTCTTTGATCTTGGCATTTTTTTTTTTTCTGGAAAAGATGGTGCAAACTTGAGTTTATCTTCTTGATTTTAATGCAGATTCCTTTGTGCCACGTATTTAGGGAGGAAGTTGAGTACTTTTCATTTGGAAATCATAGGAAGACAGGAATTGTACATGTGCTGCTGCTTGCCAGGAACAGGTTGAGAAGAAAACTGAGGCAGTTGGAATTGATGATGCAGTGGCCTAATATATAAGGGAGTTTGCAGGAATGAGTAAACCTTATCTGAAGGTGAATATATGTTCTATATCTCTACATATTTAAACTGTCTAGAGTGCTGGGTAAAATAAAAGATCTCTCTGCTGACCTGTAAACGAATAATACTTCTTGACTTAGAATGCCTCTTCACTTTTATAGATGCCATCTTCCTCTTCTTGATATTTTCTGTGTTATATTGGATAAGTGATAAATGTGTGGTTGTATTTACTAAGTTTAGCCTGTTTATTTAGATTTTGTTTGGTGGAGTCTGTTTCCCTTCCTAACTTTTCCAAAAGGGAATGTGCTGTTTAGTTTGCATCTGTATCTTTGTGGAATTGATGATCACTGATTTGATTGTGAAAAATGTCTTTTCCAGCTTTTATTTATGACAGATATTTTCTAATCACATGCACTCCTTCACCACAGAGGCTTATACCCCCTTGGCCTCATAGCAGTTCTCCATAGCCATACTGTAGTTAAGTTCCTTTGAACTTGGTCAGGAGTGAACTAGAAAAAAAAATGCTTACTAGGGTCTAAAAACTGTTTTATGCTTTGTAGTCTGGCATTTGCACTAGTAGATCGTTGTTGATATAGGTCAGAGACCTTTCTATAGTATTGCCTCCTGGTACTGTCTTAAGATACTTGCTGTGTCCACTTTTAGATCTGCGTATGTCATGAACGTCCTTATGGGCTCTGCATGAAGCTGCTCCATTGTTTTTGGGTTAGCAGATGTACCTGTCAGCTAGCATGTGTTTTGTCCAAAGTCCACAAGCTTGATCAGGTTTTTAAGGGTCGTGTGGTTTCTGAGCTGTGTGTGTCTTGTCTGTCCTCACACTTTGAAAGGGTGAGAAATGGGAATTATATATTCCAAGTTTGTCTAGTAAACATGGCTTTTTCTTATAACCTAGACTGTCAAGGATAAGTGACGGTGGTAAATGGGCCTGGAGCCTATTGTGTAAAGTTCATTCCTAACATTTGCTTACCTCTTATGTTGGCAAAAACAAATACCTGTGGATTGTCCTTAGGGCTTTTAATCAGATACCTGTGTTACTGTTAGCGGAACTAAAGTGAAGCATTAAATCTAAAGCCAAATTGGTCTTCTGAAGTATCAGTTGTACTTTTTGGGTTTAGAAAATATTTAGGTGTTAGTCTAGTCTTCCACTCATGAATCAATGTGTTTCAATATCAGAGACCCTCAACTTCCTTTTTCTTTTTTAAAAATGATTTTAGTGTTTTGATTTAGTGTATATGCTACATAGTTCTGTATTGTTGGCTTCACCAGTATTGAGAGAAAAAATTTTAACTCTCCAGTTGCAAACAGTATTGATTTGGGACATAGAAATAAAATCATGGTAACATAAATGCCGGTTTTCTTAAGCCTCTGCTCCCTAATTCCCTGTATTGAAATGTATACTCCTCATACCTAGCTTCTGGACACAGGCAATTATAGAGGGGCCCGATCTATCCCAGTATGGTTGGATTTTAAACATTTGTGTTTCCGTTATTTTGGGAACTGATTAATATTTTAAATTCTTTTCTTTTGTTGATGAATTATTTTGATACTTATGCTAGTAAAGAGAGACTCTAGAACATCTTGAAGTTGGAATACAAATATTATTCTTCTAGGCTTGGGAGAATTTAAGCAGTCTATGCAACTCATCAGATGGTGAGAAATAGCCCTCTGCGGTTCCACTAAGCTTTCAGTGACTTTGATACCTCCCCAAATATCTTGAGTTGCTGCTTGTTAACACCCAGCTTTTAACTGAGTGTTTGCTCCTGATGGTTTAGTAAGTGTTCATGTTGTACCACACTGTCAAGTTTTGTCTTTTTATCCCTCTGTGGATGTGAGTTTGAAACACGCACGGTACTGTAAATCCTACCTGATCGAGTGGTCTGGAATGACAATTATTTTTTAAGGGGGAGAACTCCCCATCTTAATGTTTCTGAAGTGTGTAATAAGAACTTGGCATTGGAAAAAGGAGATAAAGAATGTTTAAAGCAGTATCTACTCTTCCTCTCTATGAGTGTGTATTCATGGTTGAATGAAAAGAAAGATTCTTGGGTTTTGTGTTGCCATGTTAAGCATGGAGAGGGATGCTTGACAGCATGCTAATTGAAGCCAGAGCAAGTATGTCCTTCATCAGGTAATCAGAAACTCTTTGAAGCTGAGGAACAAGCTGATTACTTATTGATCATAATGGAATTAATTACAAAGTGGAAGTGCTGCCTGGCTTAAGCACCCAAAGAAAATAATGCAGCAGCCTAACTTAATGTTAACTTAGTTTTCTGAATTTGAAACTGACCTTTTTCCCACCCTACTTCACATACCTAAAACTGTCCGTTTTCTTACCAAAGAGCAAAGAGGAAAAAAAAGTAAACATACCAATCTATGTCACTCAGGTACAATTTTGTGGTGAGATTTTTGTTTCTTTGTAGTGCTCTTAAGAGTCCTTTCTCAGCATATTATTCTGCCGTTGCCTCTGTCCTCCTTGGGGTGCCTCGGTTCTGGATGCTGCCCCTGGGATCTCTCTACTGCTGTTAATGTGAATGATAGGATGTAAGTGACCATTGTAGTAAGGGCTCTTTGTAAAAAAAATACAGAAAATTTAAAAAAAAATTAAAAAGGATATATACATTTTATAGTCTGGCTATCAGTTTGATATCTTGCTGTCAAGTATGTTTCTCAATCTGTATTTATCCATCCCATCAATAAATGTTAATGATAAAACACTCATCTGATTGTTGTTTATGTGTACTGTGTCTTCAAATTAGTCCTTAGTCTTTTTTTTTTTTTTTTTTTTTTTGAGTTGGGGTCTTACTCTGTCACCTAGGCGTGCAGTGGCAAGCTCACAGCTCACCACAGCCTCAAACTCAAGCAGTCCTTCCAACTCAGTCTCCCAAGTAGCTGTAACCACATAGGCACGTACCACCACACCAGGCTAATTTTTTTTACTTTTTGTAGAGATGAGGTCTCACTGTGTTGCCTAGGCTGGTTTCAAACTCCTGAGATCTAGTAGTCCTGCCTTGGCCTCCCAAAGTGCTAGGATTATAGATGTGAGTCACTGTGCCTGGCTGCTTAGTCTTTAACTGTCATTTTACAGATGGGATTTCAATATTGGTAGTAGCATATTCTTATTGTTCAAGATCTTGTGGGAATTGAGTCCGTTGGTCTATATAACTTGGTAGCATGTGTTGTAGTCAAAGGGGAAAAAAAATTCTGATTGTATTGTGGCATGAATACCTGGAAAAGTAACTTGTTCACACACACACACAAATTGTAGTTCTAAAAGAATGGCATGTACTACTTATCTAGCACACATTATCAACATGATTCATAATTATATATTTAGTTCTTTGAAAAGACTGAAATTGGCAGGTGTGGTGGCTCATGCCTATAATCCCAGTATTTTGGGAGGCTGGGATGAGCAAATTGCCTGAGCCCACGGGTTTGAGACCAGCTTGGGCAACTTGGCGAGACCTCATCTTTACAATAAATAAAAAATTAGCTGGGAGTGGTGGTGCGTTCCTGTAGTTCCAGCTTCTTGGAAAGTTGAGGCAGAAGGATCACCTGAGCCCAGCAGGTTGAGGGTGCCACCACTGCACTCCAACCTGGGCAACTGAGATTTCAACTCAAAAAAAAAAAAAAAAAAAAGACTGAAATTTTAGTATAGACATGACTATACTAAGAAAATATGCTTTGAAGAAAAAATTAACTTTTTTTAAGAGATAGGGTCTTGCTCTGTTGCCCAGGCTAGACTAGTGGTATGATCATAGCCTTGAACTGCTGGGCTCAAGCAAGCTTTCCAGCTCATCCTCCCCAATAGCTAGGACCGTAGACATACACTACCATGCCTGGCTAATTTTTGAAAGTTATTTGAGCCGGGCTTGGTGACTCAGCCTGTAATCCCACGCCTTTGGGAGGCTGAGGTGAGTGGATTGCCTGAGCCCGTGGGTTCGAGACCCGCCTGGG